TGAACTACCCGACGCATGATTTGGAATTAGCCGCTATAGTATTCGCCCTTAAGATTTGGCGATATTATCTATACGGAGAGAAATTTCAGATATATACAGATCATCAAAGCCTTAAATATCTGTTTTTTCAAAAGGAGCTGAATATGAGACAGCGTCGGTGGATGGAATTGCTGAAGGATTATGATTGTGATATTTTATATCACCCCAGGAAGGCCAACCGGGTAGCCGATGCATTGAGTCGGAAGTCAAGCATCGCACACTTGATGGTCAAGGAATGGGCTTTGTTAGAAAAAGTACGAAACTTGGAATTTAGATTTGAAGTAAGTCACGTCTCGAGTTTACTAGCCACGGTAAGGATTGAACCAGAGATCCAGGCTAAGATTAGGATTTTACAGTCTACGGATCAAGAAATCCAAATGATTCTGGAAATGGATGATACCAAAAGAAAGCCGGACTTCCAGATATCTGAAGACGGGATATTGAAGTTCTGTGGACGATTGTGCATGCCTGACGATGCGGAACTTAAAGAAGAAATTTTGTCGGAAGCGTATCGTAGTAGTTATAGCATCCATCCCGGTAGTACGAAAATGTATCAAAATTTGAGGTAGTACTATTGGTGGAATGGTATGAAGGTGGACATAGCCAGACATGTGGCCAAGTGTCTGACGTGCCAGCAAGTGAAGGCACAACATTGTAAGCCCGGAGGGTTATTGCGACCTTTGGAAATCCCAGAGTGGAAATGGGAACATATAACTATAAATTTTGTGACGGGATTACCAAAGAGCCAAAGAGACCATGATACCATTTGGGTGATTGTCGATAGATTGACAAAGTCAGCACACTTTTTGGCCGTGCGAAAGGACTTTGTATTAGATCTGTATGCTGAGTTATACATACAATAAATAGTCGTTTGCATGGGGTACCGGTGACGATTACCTCAAATCATGATCCTAGGTTTACCGCCAATTTTTGGAAAAGTCTGCAGATGGCATTAGGGTCAAAGCTGCAGTTTAGTACAGCTTACCATCCACAAACGGATGGCCAGTCTGAGATGACGATTTAGACTTTAGAGGATATGCTTAGGGCATGTGTATTGGATTTTCAGGGTAAGTGGGAAGAGCAATTGCCGTTTGCAGAATTTGCGTATAATAATAGTTTTCAGCAGAGCATCGGAATGGCGCCCTTTGAAGAGCTATATGGCAGAGCATGTAGGATGCCCGTGTATTGGGACGAAGTAGGAGAAAGGAGTATAACCGGGCCAGAATTGATTCAACAGTCAGTTGAGGCTGTTAAGGTAATTCGTGAGAGGCTGAAAATAGCTCAAAGCCGTCAAAAGAGTTATGCAGACAGAAGGCGAAGACCTTTGGAGTTTCAAGTAGGGGATCACGTATTCCTTAAGGTATCACCCATGAGAGGATTATCCCGATTCGATAAGAAAGGGAAGTTGAGTCCGAGGTATGTGGGACCCTTTGAGGTTTTAGAAAGGATTGGGGACTTACTTATCGTCTTGCACTCCCGCTAAATTTGTCGCAAGTGCATAATGTGTTCCACGTATCGATGTTGAGAAAATATGAACCGGACCCAACTCACGTGTTGAATTACGAAGAGATAGAAGTTGACGACAGGGTGTCGTATGTCGAGAAATCAATAAGGATCGAAGATCGGAAAGAACGAGTTTTAAGGAACAAGATGATCCCGATGGTCAAGGTTGTTTGTGAACATCACGGGACAAAAGGCGTGACGTGGGAAAGTGAAGAGCAAATGCAACGTCAATACCCCCAATTGTTTGAGTAGTTAGTTTGAATTGTAAATTTCGAGGACGAAATTTTTATAAGGGGGGAAGAGTTATGACATTCTGAAATCCGACCCACTTGGGATTTATGAAATGAATGGTTTATGGACGTGCTTGTAGTTAAGATCTCGCCCGGAATTGATCACTTCGGGAATACTAATCGTTAGGGAAAGGCTAATTAGGGATTTAAATTCGTGCGACCAAAGAACTCGATCGTGAACCGACTTTCAACCATGAAAATTATCGAGGTGACATTTTGAGCCAATGTAGGCCGATCCAAGGATAGCTAGGGATCAGTTCGCCATTGTCATACGAGTGGATCGCGGGTGATTCCGCTTGACCACGAAATGAATTGACGAATGACCCCAAACCTATACCAAACGATCGCGCCCGTCGGAACTAGCGATCGATCCTCGCAATTAAGTGACAACTGAGGTCGTCACGACCCGAGTAAACTTGAATGTGGCTTGATTCAGTATCAGCCACGGGTCAAATGTGCGAATTTCCCCAACAGCCACCCGTTAGTTCGAGATACGCTCAAGTTACGTAAATTAAATTTGATCATTAATTAGAAACCAAGTTTAGGCATCGGAAATTATGAAGGTCATGACAGGATAATTGGACGATGTTGTCATTAGCTTGGTTAGTTTCGGATTTGTCCGAATCCTTCAGAAAAATCGAATTTCGGTGAGAAATGGAAAATGACCGTTTTACCCCTGGAAGTTTATTAAGGCCAAGTGTAAATGGGGAAGGGCATTTTGGTCATTTCACCCTCACTTTAGAAATGATAATTGTTGGACAATTTTGCCCTTGGACTTTTTGTGAAATTCCCATTTTACCCTTGGATATTTTGAAAAAAGATTTGATCTCAGCCGTTGATCTCAAGATAAGAATGAATCTTGGCCGTTGATTGGAAATGTGAGAGAGGGGTATGATGGTCATTTGGGCATGGGATTAGACACCAATTATTGGTGTTCACCATATTTAATCTTCATTTTCTCTCTCTCTCCTCACTCTCTCACCTCTCGGCCTCACCCTCTCTCTCTCCCCCTCCAGACCGAACCAACCCCTTTCCGCCGTGACCTTAGCCGTCCGGCCTAGCCAGCAGCCGCCGCCGCCCACCCATCCAGCCAGACCAGCCGCGCCAGAGCAGCTCGCCGCCGCCGTGGCCGCTCAGCTCACCCCGCCGCTCACCTCACCGTCTCTCTCTCCCCTGTTCTGTTTCCCCTACCGAATCACCTCCCCCACCAGCTCCTTCGGTCCTATTCAGCCGTGGAAGGCCAGCAGACCGCCAGCCATCACTGTTGCCGTCTGCCGAGCCGCTTGCCGTCGCCGTTCGCCGCCGTGTGGCTGCCGACTGCCTCCCCTTTTTCCCTCAGTCGAGCTAGCTTAGATTCCAAGTAAGTTGCCCCTTAAACCCTATTTAGGATGTCGGGTATCAATAGACTGTATTAGGGGTGAATAGGGTCGATTAGTGGCGGTTTAGGGGTTATTTAGGACCTGTTTAGGGGTTAACTTGGCGGACTGATTTGGGATTGATATTGGCTGATTTGAGGCTGAGTTAAGTGCTGGACATTGTGGATTGGATCGACGAGCATTTGGCTCGATTTAGGGACAAATGGTGTCGGTTTGGTGTATTGTATGGTGGCTGGATTGTGATGCTAGTTATGACTTGAAATGAGCTTGGAAATGTTGAAATTGTACTCATGATTATGGCTGTGATTTTGAGTCCGATGGTGGCCTCGTATGTTTGTGTAATCATGAGTTGATTGATTGAAATGTGGATCTTTATGTGCACGCATGGGCTGAATTGATTTGATTGGTAATTGGCCACGATTGGGTGTGGATTGAGCATATGAAATGCGTGTGGTTTGGTGCGTGCACGGGCTAAACTTGATCGGCTAGTATATTGGCATGTTAGCGTGTAAATTGAGCGAGTGAACGAGTGAGAAATTGTGTGTGATGCTGTATGGGTGGCTACGAAAATCCCTAAGGCGGTATCATTACGCGGGGAATTGATCTGTCCTGAGGCGGTACCATTACGCGGGACGATGCCCGATATTACTGGAGGACGGTCAACCTTAGGCGGTACCATTACGCGGGTTGTGCCGTAGGTGGTGGATGTTGAGCCTGAGGCGGTACCATTATGCGGGCCAAGAAGTGTTGTGAATATGAGTTGGTCGCAGTGAACCTGAGGCGGTACCATTACGTAGGTCACTGGTGAGTTGAGTGAAAAATATGAGATGGTCGCAGTGAACCTGAGGCGGTATCATTACGCGGGTCACTGGCGAGTTGAGTGAAAAATATGAGATGGTCGCAGTGAACCTGAGGCGGTATCATTACGCGGGTCACTGGCGAGTTGAGTGAAAAATATGAGATGGTCGCAGTGAACCTGAGGCGGTATCATTACGCGGGTCACTGGCGAGTTGAGTGAAAAATAAGAGATGGTCGCAGTGAACCTGAGGCGGTATCATTACGCGGGTCACTGGCGAGTTGAGTGAAAAATATGAGATGATCGCAGTGAACCTGAGGCGGTATCATTACGCGGGTCACTGGCGAGTTGAGTGAAAAATATGAGATGGTCGCAGTGAACCTGAGGCGGTACCATTACACGGGTCACTGGCGAGTTGAGTGAAAATAGTGTGATGAGGCAGGTCCGAGTGCGTGAAATGTATTTGAAACGTGCATGTGATTGGAAATTGTGCTATTGTGGCTAACGTGTAGGTTGCACGCAGGAAAAGCCCAGGTAAGTATAAATTGTGTGCCTGTTATGTGGTCATTGAGTGTGTTTGTGTTTGAACTTGTCTGGAGGTAAGTGATAGCCTAAGTGGGGTTTAGGGTGTGTGCATATTGAGACGTGATCTCATGGTTATTTCAACCAACAATTTCAGAACCCCCGCCTGAGCCATGAACCTTCCACCACCGCCGCCGCAGCGTTTTGGAATCCCGATGCACACCGACCATGATGTTGTAAAATACCCGATAGATGAAAACATGACCTGGGTGAAGCATACTACTGTAGTATGGATAGACGTAGGACTACCTCTTTAGCAAGCCCATTCCTACACAGCTTGGATGTTCAGGGACGGGTTAGATGAGTTTGGCCCCGTCTGTGGCTTTGATGTCCCCTTTAACGGAGTTGGGGATTGGGATCCATCAGCCATACCCCCTCCTGATGGTGAGATGACTAGTTTGGAAACTAGTCTAGCGCAGTTTAGACATCAGGCCGCACTTGCAGCAGCTGAACCTCCCGTGGCCGAACTTGATCCGGAGCCGGAGGAGTCACAGGCAGGGTACGACCCTATGGATGTGGATGTTGAGGTAATACCAGAGGAGGAACCAGAAGACGAAGACCCTAAGGACGAACTTGAAGAGGCACCGGAAGAAGAACCCAAAGAAGACCTAGAGATGGGACCAGAGGACGCACCCGAGGGAGAGCCAGAGTATGAGCCAGAGGACGAGCCGGAGGAGGAGCCTGATGAGGAGGAGCGAGTCGAAGTTCCGGTGGAGTCGGGCAATATAGACAACCCGATTGAGATCGAGGCTGACTCAGAGTCCTCAGATGATCAGGCAGTTCAGGGGGATTTCGACTCGGGTCCTGAGGAGTCGAACTCTGAGTGGACGCCATCTAGGGCGCGTAGGGGCTAGTGTAGGGGTTGAGTGCAGGTTTTTTGAGGTGTCCCATTTTTGGCAGATAGGGTACCCGGGCTATCGATCTTTTTGACATCGGTGGTGTCTAGTCTTGATAGTACGGTGTGCATGTATATGATATGGGTTGTTTACTGGTGGATATTGTATAAAGTTGGATAAGTAATGAATGTCTATTCTCCCTTGTACCCCTAGTCAATTATTGTCTGGGTGTTTGTGGCTTTCGCTGATTGATTTAAATCTCTGATAAGATGAATTGGGTCGGCGATTTTCTGGGACATCGCGATATTCGACCAAAGAGGTGTGTCGCGTGCTCGATGGGGTTCGGGGCGTGACAGGAAATGATTGATTTATCGGTTCTAGCCATGTATAATTTTGATGTGATAGTGGGTATGGATTGGCTGACTAAACAGAGGACCGTAATGGATTGTAGTAGTAGGGTATTCCAATTTAATCCTGTTGGACATCCAGAATTCAAATTTGTGGGAAATCGAGAGGAACCTCGATCCCATGGATTTCGTCGCTAGAAATGACTAAGTTGTTGAGCGAAGGATGTCAAGGATTTCTAGCGGCTGTAGTTGATTCGACGGCTGAGGAGCCGAGGCTAGAGGATATAGCCGTGGTGTGCGATTATCCCGATGTCTTTCCTCATGAATTGCCGGGATTGCCACTAGAAAGAGAAGTAGAGTTTGTAATCGAGTTGGCCCCTGGAACTGAGCCAATCTCGAAGGCACCTTATAGAATGTCGTTGTCAGAATTAAAAGAGTTAAAGGTGCAAATGCAAGAGTTATTGGACAAAGGATTTATTCGTCCGAGTGCGTCTCCATGGGGAGCGCCAGTTTTATTTGTGAGGAAGAAAGATGGATCGTTGAGGTTATGCATCGATTATAGGCAGCTAAATCAATGATGATAAAAAATAAATATCCCCTGCCAAGGATAAATGATTTGTTTGATCAATTACAAGGGACTTCGATATTTTCTAAAATTGATTTGAGAACGGGATATCATCAATTGAGGATTAGGAGAGAGGATATACCGAAGACGGCATTTAGGATGAGATATGGACATTATGAATTTACGGTAATGCCGTTCGGATTGACGAACGCCCCTGCTGCCTTTATGGACTTAATGAATCGAGTGTTTAAGGAGTTCTTAGATCAATTTGTGATCGTTTTCATAGACGACATATTGGTATACTCGAAGAGCCCAGTGGAGCATGAGTTTCATTTGAGCAAAGTTTTGCAGACTTTAAGAGAGAACGTACTGTATGCTAAGTTTAGTAAGTGTGAGTTCTGGCTTAATCGAGTAGCATTTCTTGGACACGTGATCTCTGGGGAAGGAATCTCAATAGATCCAACAAAGATTGAGGCAGTAATGAAATGGCCGAGACCGACGATGGTAACAGAAGTGCGAAGCTTTCTGGGTTTGGCAGGATATTACCGACGCTTTGTGGAGGGGTTTTCGACAATAGCAACACCGTTGACACATTTGTTGAAAAAGGAAACAAGGTTTGAATGGACCAACAAATGTGAAAGGAGTTTTCAGGAATTAAAACATAGATTGACAACGGCACCGGTGTTGACTATTCCATCAGGACCCGGAGGATACAAAATTTATAGTGATGCGTCGTTGAAATGACTGGGGTGTGTACTCATGCAAAATGGACAAGTAGTGGCCTACGCGTCAAGACAGTTAAGACCGCATGAGTTGAACTACCCGACACATGAATTGGAATTAGCCGTTATAGTATTCGCCCTTAAGATTTGGCGACATTATCTATGCGGAGAGAAATTTCAGATATTTACAGATCATCAAAGCCTTAAATATCTGTTTTCTCAAAAGGAGTTAAATATGAGATAGCGTCGGCGGATGGAATTGCTGAAGGATTACGATTGTGATATTTTATATCACCCTGGGAAGCCCAACTGGGTAGCCGATGCATTGAGTCGGAAGTCAAGCATCGCACACTTGATGGTCAAGGAATGGGCTTTGTTAGAAAAAGTGCGAGACTCGGAATTTAGATTTGAAGTCAAGTCTCGAGTTTGCTAGCCACTCTAAGGATTGAACTAGAGATCCAGGCTAAAATTAGGACTTTACAGTCTACGGATCAAGAAATCCAAAGGATTCTGGAAATGGATGATACCAAAAGAAAGCCGGACTTCCAGATATCTGAAGACGGGATATTGAAGTTCCGTGAACGATTGTACGTGACTGACGAATGCGGAACTTAAGGAAGAAATTTTGTCAGAAGCGCATCGTAGTAGTTATAGTATCCATCCAGGTAGTACCAAAATGTATTAGAATTTGAGACAGTACTATTGGTGGAATGGCATGAAGGTAGACATAGCTAAGCACATGGCCAAGTGTCTGACGTACCAGTAAGTGAAGGCGCAACATTGTAAGTCCGGAGGATTGTTGCGACCTTTGGAAATCCTAGAGTAGAAATGGGAACATGATTCCATTTGGGTGATTGTCGATAGACTGACAAAGTCAGCACACTTCTTGGCTGTGCGAAAGGACTTCGTATTGGATAGGTATGCTGAGTTGTATGTACAATAAATAGTTCGTTTGCATGGGGTACCAGTAACGATTACCTCATATCGTGATCCTAGGTGTTGACACCTAATTTTCAGCTCATTTTTGTCATATTTTCAAAAATTTCAAAATTAGGTCTAGGGATCTTGCCCAAGCCTAGAAACCTATTTCTAAACCAAGAAATAATTTTTTTATCATTTTTCCGCATTTTTTCTTTATTTCTTTTAGTCAAAATAAGCAAGAAAATCAAGAAAATTAGTAAATGGAATCAGAAAATTCCATAAAAAGAGTCATTAATCTTATTTTTAATCCAATTTCATAAATACATTGTCAATTTTAGAAAATATCAATCAGGTATATGTTTTTCCCAAAATTGGGCAAAATTAAACCCGAATTGAACCAAAAATGAAATTAAATTTTTTCTAGACATTTTTAGGTCATAGTGTCTTCACAACAATTGATTCTGGGACCTTTAATTGCATAATGGTCAGTCCAATTGCACAATTTGACATAAAAATAAAAAAATCCCCAAAATTTGATTGAAAATTAAGAATTTTGAACCTAAATTGGGAATCGTGCCCAAAATGAAATTGCCGAAATGTGAGACTATCATTTCTAGGGTTAATCAGGGGTGGGTAATGCAATTTTGGCATCAATTTTTCCTAATCAGGTCATTAAGACCTCAAATTGAACAAAACCCTATTAACTCGAATATAAAAATGAGAAAATCTTGGGTACAATTATAATAAAAATTGGGGAAAATTATATGTTTGGGTTCGGAACATGCTGGGAAATTCAATTTTGAGGTTGAATTTCGAAAATTTGGTGGAAATTGAGTTTAATTCGGGAATTTAAGCAAAATCGGAACTGCCGGGTTGGGCGGGTCGACCCGACCCGACCCGAACAGTATCGTCTTCTTCACACGGCCACAACCCGCGAGAAACCCAGAAATAAAAACTAATTCAAACCCGCGATTTTGTCAAACATTTCCAGCCATTTTAGCACGTGTTGATCGGCTTGGCCAACTGAAAAATGTCTGGCTGGCACCGGTTAACGACCCCTACTAATTGGGAATTAATTAGTAGGGGTCATTTTTCAGCCATTTTGTCCAGCCATTTTAGCCATTTTTCAGCTGAAAAATGTCCAGCTAAAAAATTTCCAGCCATTTTGTCAAACATTTCAACGATTTTTGGGCACAAAATCGAAGAACAAAAAAACAAGAAAAACTGAAGAACGTGAAGGGAAACTATTCGACAAAATTCCCGAGAGAGAGAAGGGAGAGAAAGGAGCGAAATCAAAGAGAAAAAACTAGAGAGAGAGGGTCAGAGGTCCCCCCGTGAGTGTTCGGCGCCGCCCTAGACGGCGGGGCGCCGGCGAATAACGAGTTGGCCATGACCTCCCCTCCTCGTGCCAAGCCGAAAAAGCTGACCGCGAAGGTCTGAAAATCAGCCTTGGCCGACGTATCCAAACCTGTTCCGGCGAATCCAAGAGCACCGGGAGGAAGAGGAAGTGTCAAGGAACGATCTCTGGGGTGCGGATCACTTCGAAAAATTCATTTGGTTGACGGACAAATCAGGTAAAAATCGTTCATAGTCAACTTTATAAAAAATTTCCAGAATTTGGTTTTGGTCTCAATATGCATATTTGAGTGATTTCATTGCCGAATCTTGACATTTTGATGATCATTATTAGTTTCTAAACATTTTGATATGATTTGATTGCATTTTGGACCTAAAAAACGCATGAACCGAGTCGGCCCCCATGTAAACACCCTCGCCGGAGCTCCGGTTACCTCGCCGGAGCATTGCCGTGGCCGTAAGGCCATTCAGGTTAGTCTCCTTGACCTTATTTGATGTTTTGATGGTTGTTTAAACCGATTTAGACGGCTAGGGCGGCTAGTTTTAGGATTCTAGTTCTAAATAATGAAAATTTAAACAGTGCAAGTTAGGTTTTTTAGACCGGTTTTTCGCCAGCCGGCGAAGGTCCGACAGTGACCAAATTAGACTAGAATGATAATAGGACATGTGGGCTTGTTGATGGTGCAAGTGGAACGGCGGAACAGTCGCCGGAAGGTCGTTGACGGTGAGCCTAAAGTCGCGGCCTTGAGAACAAAAAACACAAATCCATGCACACCAAATGTTTGTAAAAATGCCCCAATGAAAATGGGCAAAACCGCACCGTTTTTGGCATGCCGTGCCCGCCAGAGAGGGTAACCGGCGCCGGCGCCCGCGACGGCGACGGCCGGTTCGGTCTCAGCCGAACCGGTCCGGTCCGGTTTGTCCCCTCGGCGGGAAAATACAAAAAATAATAATAATAAAAGAAAATCAATAAAAAAATAAATAATTAGAAAAATTCTAAAAAATAAACAATTCATAAAAAAATTAGAAAATTTTGCAGAAAATTCATAAAAATTAGAAAAAATTCCAGAAAATTCAGAAAAATTCAAAAATTTCATGAAAATTCAA